AAATAAATAAATAAATAAATAAATAAATAAATAAATAAATAAATAAATAAATGCATTTAAGGAAAAAAACAGAAAAGGGTCCAATAGGAAGTTGTTTTTGTAAGTGAATGGATTATACTTCAGTATAAAGAATCAACACTACAGGGTGGCCTTAACTATGAAATATTTTAACCCTTTTATCATTGAGAAATAAAAGGTTTTTATCAAGTTAAAAGAGTTCAAATTTAGCAGGGCGTTGTGGCACATGCCTTTAATCCTAGCACTTGGGAGGCAGGGGCAGGCAGATCTTCGTGAGTTCGAGGCCAACCTGGTCTACATAGTGAATTTCAGGACAGCTGGGGCTACAAGGAGACCCTGTCTCGAGGAAAAAAAAAAAAAAAAAAAGAGTTCAAATTTAAAGCAGCAATCAGGAGTAGCGTGTCCCTGATTCACACAGGATCCGTTCACAGGTCCTTATAACTGACCTGGCTGAGCCCTTCCATAGCAACCAGGAGGAAAGGTCCAGTATCAGCTCTGGCCCATTCTCCTCCCTCACATACCTGGGCTCCCAGTCTCTGCTGCTCTAGAAACCTGAAACAACATCCCTTAGGACTTCATTTAAATTCACTCACTGGCTACCATCTACCGCTCATTGGTCAACTCTCATCTCTTTCAGAACCTTCACCTTCTGCAGTGAGCACATTTTTGCCTTTGTTACCCTGAACTTGAACACATTGAACCCTTTCTTTTCCTTCCCCAAAACTCAAGAGTACACAGTTAATGCTTTACGATGCCTTTGACACTGCTGTTTGGCATTTTAGATATTCTTTTCTACCATCATCCTCCCTGGCCCCAATAGCTTCCATCATCTGGTTTCTCTTTCTGGTAATGACATTAAAAAGCATTAAGATGCATGGGGATATACTCTGTAATCACAGCATGTGGGAGGCAGAGAAGAAAGGAGGGTACATACAAGGCTACCTTAGGCCAACCAGCAAAACTGCCTTTAAAAGACCAAGGGCTAGTGATGTGGCTCAGTGGTTGAGCACTTGACTAGTATGTGCAAGGCTCTGGGTTCCATCCTCAGCACCATTAAGATAGGAAGGGAGAGAGATACTTGGAGCTATACCTTTTCCAGAATCAAGATACTACTACCTAGAAATTATGCAGCAATTATAAAATCTTTCAAAATGTTTTATATGGCTAGGTATGCTCTAACATGCATCTTCAGAGGTTTAATCCTGCAACTAAAGGAAAGAGAAAAAGATTTGAAAAAACTGCCTTACACAGATATGAATTAATATAAACCTCGTGTATACATACACACACACAGAAGATAGACCAGATGAGTATGTATCAAAATGTTAATAATGATTATGAGTAGTAAGATTACAAATACATTTCCTGCTTTTCAACCTGTAGAGATTTCTAGAAAATACTAAGCAATGCTAACATGAGAAAATATCTCAAAACAGCCTATGCTAGTCTTCTAGTTAAGTGACAGAAAACAGCACCTGTGCAGTTACAATTCTTGCCTTGAGGAAGGGGCAAACACACTTGAAGCCACAAGGATGCTCCAAGATGCACACAAGCACTAGAGCAAGTGGGTCTAGCCCTGCTGTACCACCCGCAACTTGAAATTTTCAGTCAGTGACTGCACTTTTTACACCTTGACATTGGCAAACCATGATAGAGCCTTAATCAGGAAGAGGAAGCAAAGAAACAAGAGTCAAAGGCTGGCTTCTCTGTCTTAATTAAGAAGAAAAACCTTACTGACATACTCGTTAGCACTGAAAATACCAAGAAAATGTTATGAAGGAGTCAACTGTAAGAAAAATACCATAAAGCTAATAAATAATCTGAATGAAACCCTGTGAATAGTATGGCTTATGATCACTCTGAAAAGCAAAATTTCACTTATGCCTAATGCTGACAGAGGCACAAAGGAAAAAGAAAACAGAAAATGAAAACTATGCCCATTACTACACACTAGAGGAAAGTTTGAAGTGAAACGTTAGCAAACATATTCCCAAGCTACATTAAGAAAATAAAAGATGGGACTGGAGAGATGGCTCAGAGGTTAAGAGCACTGGCTGTTCTTGCAAAGGACCCGAGTTTGGTTCCCAGAACTGTCTGTGACTCCAGTTCCAGGGGATCCAACACCTTCTTCTGACCTCCACAGACACTGAACAACACGGGTGCACTTACAGGCATACAGGCACATAAAATAAAAATAAATTTAAAAAAAAAAGATAACCAGCAACATGGTTCAGTAAGTGAAAATCTGAGTTCAACCCACAGAACCCACATGATAGGAGAGAATCAGCTCCTGCAAGTTGTATTCTGACCTCCACATGGGTATGCATGTGCGCACATGTGTGCACACACATACAAAATATACACACACTATAAATTAATAAACGTAAAAACAGAAAAGATGAGGAAGCAAGATTTATCCAAGGGATACAAGATTGATCACAACGTTAGTAAATTATTTTCTAAAATATGCAACATTAACTTATTTAAAGAAAAAAAATCACACAATGATCCTTACTGGTACTGAAAACTACTTTGACAAAATTCAACACTCAGATTTTTTTTCAAATTCAAGAAACTAAGAATTGATTGGTATTTCATTAACAGAATTAAAAATACAGACCTTAGTCCTAAAGCTAGGTCTTATCAAATACAGAAGCAACAAAGACTTCCCCACAAAGATCAGAAACAAGGCAGGTAAGAGATCATCTCCACTACTGTTCAGTACTGTATCCGAAATATTACCCAGTGCCACGAAATATGTCAAAACAGGAAAAAAAAAAAAAAACAACAACAACACAGAACCAGAAAGTAGTAAGATAAGTCAAAATACCTCTATAAAGACTCTGATGGTGTACTTAGAAAATCCTAGAGAACCAATTCAAAAACTAATTCAATGAATAAAATAATTCAGTAATGCAGGCTATAAAACTGGCACACAGAACTTAATCAATACCCTTCATTCACAAAAACAGTGAGAGGAAATGGTACTCCAAGAAAAACTTTTTTAATAGCAACACAGAAAAGATTTAACAATAACACAAAAAGTATAGATTGTGTGATGAAATGTTTAAACACTCTTAAAAAGATATGGATATAAATCTGAATCAACCAAAAGGACTGTCTTATTTTTTATAAGCTTTTTAATTTTATGTGTATGAGTGTATTGCCTGCATGCATGTGAGTGCACCTGTGTCATGCAATGCCACAGAGGTCAGAAGAGGGCTTCGGATTCCCCTGGAACTGGAGCTAAGGATGGTTCGTAGCTGCCACGTGGGTGCTGCGAACCGAATCCGGGTCCTCTGCAAGAGCAGAGGCATCTCTCCAGCCCCAGGACTGTATTATTTTTACACAGTACAAACTCAATATCCTAAATCATAAATTTGTACATTAGATAAACCAAAGTAAGCATTTTCATAGTTAGACAAGTCCATCCACACAAGGGCACATGTACAAAAATAAATATGCAAGAATATCCACGAAAACAGTAAAATGGAAGAGCTACTAGGGGGCCTACCAGAAAGATCTGCCAGATATGAAAATACACTGCAAAGCCTCCAAGTAATGTAGTGCTGGTTTGTGAGTCAACAAATCAAATGAAGAGAACAGAGCTGGGGACTCTGGTTAGTACACTGACCACACAAGCATTAGGACTGGATTTCTAAAACCCTCATAATATGCCAGGTAGGCAGGTGTGTAACTCCAGAGCTCAGGCAGCAAAGACTGGGGATCCCCAGAGCAAGCCAGATAGCTAGACAAGCTGTACTGGTGAATTCTGGGTTCAAATGAGAGACCCTGCCTCAAAGAATAAGGCAGAAGCTGGGCATGGTGGTGCACGCCTTTAATCTCAGCACTCGGGAGGCAGAGGCAGGCGGATCTCTATGAGTTCGAGGCCAGCCTGGTCTACATAGTGAGTTCCAGGCCAGCTGGGGCTACAGGGAGACCCTGTATCAAAAAGACTAAAAAAAATAAAATAAAATAAAAGGCAGAGTGCAACTGAAGAAGTCTCCCAATGTACACACACATCTGCACAGACATGCGCCCAACACATACAAATACATATATGAGAGAAAGAGTACAGAAACAAACAAAAATAAACATCTAACTTTAGTGCACAATGGTGACATCTCAAATTGCTGCAAGAAAGACTAGGGTATTTATACATGTGTACATATTGGTATATACAATATATTGTTACAATGGGGCAGAAAAGACTGGTGAGAAAGAAACACACATATTTTAATGTTACAATGGAGTTGAGAAAGTCCTACTGCATTTAGTATACTGTCCTTATTGTTAGAGTAAACTTCTACTTATAAAAATTACTTTAAGGTTACACGCCATGCTACATCAGCAGTCTCAGACATCCCATCTTTACCATGTGTCTTGATTGCGTCTAAGCATCGTACTGACTGACAGACCTACATTATCTAGGCCTCAGTAGGACATGCTACCACACCTACGAAATGAGGAAATTCAGTAACAAATGTGTTTCTCATCCCTGTGATCCACAAGAATAAACACCAAAGGGATCCTGCCTCTAAGGAGAGATTGGAGGTATGCAAGCACTCGAGGAACATATGAGCTAATTCTTTCACATGAGGTAGGGAAGACTCTCTAGTATGACACGAAGTCAGATCCAGTAAAAATTCAGAAATCTAACTACATCAATCCTAAATTTATTCTTTTAATTTTTAATTAATTAATTAATTAGTTAATATGTGTGTGTGCGTGCACATGTTGAGGTCAGAGGAAACTTTTCGGCACCAATTCTCTCCTGCCAACCTTGTGGGATCCAAGGATCAAACTCAGGTTGTCAGGTCTAAGCCTGAGCTCAGGACAAGCTCTAAGCCATCTCAAAGGCCCAAACATTAAAAACCACATGTGTGGGGCTAGCAAGATGGTTCAGTGGATAAAGTGCCTGCCAACAAGTCTGACGACCTGAGTTCAATCCCAGGGACCACCAAGGTAGAAGGCAAGAGCTGACTCCTCCAAGTTGTCCTCTGACCTCTACATGTAGGCCATGGCACGCATGTATACAAACACATTTAGACACACAAATGAAATAAAATTGTAAACATCAAAAAAAAAAAAAAAACCTACATGTATTTTTGGGCCTTGATGTAGCAATCCCACTTCTAGGAATCCCCTGAAATTAAGTCTCCAACAATTTGAAAACATATGGGCATGCATTTGCATACTCATCATAGAACTGTCTATCATTACAAAATGCAAGAAGCCATTCACATGCTCACAGACACAGAAAATCTGCTGAACAGCTGTGGTACAGTCATGCAGTGGAATACTATGCGGCTATAACAAAAAGTGAAGACACCTCTCACGTAAATTGATGGCGTGATGTCCAGAATAGGATTGTGAGTTTAAAAAAGAAAGAGCAAAAATATATTAATAGTATTAAATCTTTTATTAAGAAGAGAAAACATATGTACATGCATATGCACATACACATCCCTGTATACCTGCATACTTATGTCAAAAATTATAGAAAGGATTGGCCAGGCATGGAGGCCTATGCCTTTAATCTCAGCACTCAGGAGGCAGGAGCAGGTGGGTCTCTGTGAGTTCCAGGCCAGCCATGGTTACATAGATTCTGTCTCAATAAATAAATAAACATCAGAAAGGGTAAACCTGGTATTAAATAAGGTAAGAAAGGGCTGGACACTTCTTGAGTAACCTTTGTACAGTTCTGACTTTTTGAATCATGGTACTATTTTCACTAATTTAAAAATGAACAAGAAGTGATTAAGGTAGAACTGAAATACAAATAATAACTAATAAACCCAACTGTGTCAAATAAATAATATAACTATGGGGGGCAAACTACAAATCTAAGGAAATTTTGCATTAAGTATTTAACCTCTATCCCTTAAACTACACACAAAAAAACTCTAAACAAAGACAGGCTTCTTGTTCACAGAATCAGCTAGTAAGCAATTCTGAAACCATTTCCTGTCTATTTTAGGACTGGAAAAAAAAGTGGGGGGCAAATACAGACAGTAAGAGCCAAGCTTCTTATAACTGAAGAACAGATTACTAGCACAGAAAGGAGAGAGGGTAGATGTGCAGGATATGTGTACACATGTGCTTGCAGTGTGCATGCAGTCCAAGCATCTACAGGCAGCGAATCCCCAGCAGCAGTGAGCACTCCACAGCACACTCCTTGCTCCTAAATGCTCTCTCTTATAAAAACGCCAGCGCTCCTGGGAAAGAACTGATTTCACAACTGCAACTGAGACATACAGGAGTTGTAGGGAGCACAGCCTGGGGCCAAGGCTCAAGGAAAATGGGACAGGGCAAAAAGAAAGAGGGGCCAGACTGAAGGAATGGACTCCCACCGGCCAAATCTGAACTGCTGTGAGCAAAGTCAATAATACTGTAGTAGTGAAGAACTATAATCCTCCCAATAAAATGAGAACCCACAAGTTTACACCATTATAAGTTAGCCAAGGCACAGAGTAAAGGCCATCCTTACATTAGAAACCCAGCTAGTCTACCTAGAAGGAATGATGGAATTACTTAGCAACTATTACCATGTTTAACAGTCTCATAATATTCCAGCCAGATATCTCCGTCTCTCTGTCTTGGTCTCTCTCTCTCTCTCTCTCTCTCTCTCTCTCTCTCTCTCTC